CTGCCAAGCCTAAGAAATAAAGCCTTATCATTAGCAAAAACTGCAATACGATGAAAGCAACAAGTATTAGAGATACCTTTTTGGGCATATTTTTTCTACTTGGATGACATTAACTATTGTTTTTTTGGCATTACTACGACGTCATTATTTGGGAAGCCACATTTGGTAAAATTTTTCTTAATTTAGTAAAATCTGAAGAAAATTTTGGTAATGGCCACTGAAAAAATCTGGTCATACCAATGGGTCACACTGCGTTGACAACAGTTTCCATTGCTTGAAGAAAATTAATTTCCTCAAAGTGCCTTAAGGGAGCGGTCATTATTTATGGCGGGGGGTGGCACCGAAGAGAAAAAGGTTACTAAATTTTGAGTAAGTAAAAGGTTGGGTAAATGAAAAACAAAACAACTCAAGGTTTGGGTAATAAAAATTTATTGTCATTTCCAATGCATGACCCACTGAAATATTGGAGACTGAAAAGCAATGTCAACAGTCATTTGTCAATACAATACGTGAATCAATCAATCAGAGTCACTATCTTGATCATTTTGACAAAACAAATGGTGTCTCCAAAGAAACTACATGTGCAGACAACATGAAACTTTAGACTGCAGAAAATTTCACAAGCCGTTATCAAACTCGTGTCATAGAAGTGGTAAAAGACATGTGTGACAACTGAATGGTATCCTTTTGTAAAGTTTTTGGCCAGGGGTGGGTAATTATTTTTCAATTTATATTTGAGGTTGGGTAATCAATTTTTTGTCTTTTTAATGGTTGGGTCAGCAAAATTTTTACCACGAGAAACAATTCTCTTCGGTGCCACCTCCCACCATAAATAATGACCGGTCCCTAACATTTTGATAATGCACCGACAGCATACTTCATTAAACTCCGAAATAACATTTTTAAACATCGAAACATTACGACTAGATCATTGGTTCCATACTCAATTGAACATGTATAAATCAAGAATTTGAAATTATCCCGCGGTCTTTCGGAGCCATATATCTTTGAGCGTCGTTTTTAACCTGACAACTTTGAATTGATTTATAATGTTAATACTAATTCAAGTGATGAAAATGCAGTTCAACAAAATTTTAAAAGAATGTTATTTCTCCAATTCCGATTGGTTTTTCGAACAAAAATTCAATTTCAATTTGCTTTGCTTAATTAAGAAAATGGTACATTTCTCGTCCTGGATAAATACAATAAAATGATACCCGGTACACATCGTCCACTACAAACAAATATCTCCTAAATTTCATCCAGGGAAAAGTTGTCCTGCTTTATATTATTTATATATTTAAAAAAACAGGAAACATTTTTTATGCAAAACATGTAGCGAGGCCAAAAAAAGAAATATGTGGGTTTCCGGTTTCACGACCCTACAGAAACACACAATTACAAAATGTGGTTGAACCAAACTTTCAAATGTTCAAAAAATATTTTCTTATATTTTACACTTTTCTTTATATTGGTCAAAACCAAAAGGTAATTTTCAATTGGAAAACAGCTTATTGTCTTGCTTAATAAAAAATGGAAACTAAGTTTTGCATGGGTATACTTTGTTAACTCAAAAGTAGACAACCTTTGTTAACTCAAAAGTAGACAAACAGTTTTGATCAAAGTTCTCCGAAGGAACAATCAGTTTCCATACAATTCTTAGAATCTCAAGAAACAAAATATTATATTGCATTTTCATCAATTTCTAGTATCAACATTTAAGCAAACCAAACACAAACATCAAAAGACAAATACAGTAGTAGCAGTTGCTGATTGAACTTATGAAATTTCATTGAAAGGTCACAAATATTGAGTTTTAGTTAATTTTGGACGAAATTCTTGTCAGGTTAGAAACAGACCTTTTTGAAGTATAAACTTACCTCTACATACTCGTTGAAAAAACCATGTTCGAGTGCCATGTAAACCTGTTTGCTTATATTATTATTTTGACTATTATAACTATTATAACACACGATTACAAAGTGGAACTATTTGAAAATAATGTTGAACTGAAGCAAAAGAAATACATGTAAACATAGAAAACTAACAAATTAATTATTAACCACAACCAGCCAATAAAAATTTAAAAAATAAATCTTCTCATCTCAGTATCCAAACCAAAGTAGAAAATTAATTCATTGTGATTCGAAATAAAATATGAAATTCAAGCTTAAAAAATTTCATACTTAAAAATATTAGGGTTGCAGGTCAGATTATTTAAGTAAAAATACCATTTTATAAAATCTAGAACTTTTTTTTCAAATTATAAAATTTGGTACATAAAGAGCACCTCAGTCATTGCATATCTTGTGTGTGAAACTGATGAAACACACACAAATTTTGACGAATACTAAAAATATAGTTAATTCTGTGCTTGAATTTTGATTCAAATCTTATCAAATTATGTATTAACACCTAGCACAACAAACTGTCGATATTATCTTTAGCCTCAATATTCCAATTATTGGATTGCTTTACCTTGCAATTAAATGACGAAGAAATGTGCATTTAAAAATTTTTTTTTCCAAATAATCACCTATGAAATTATACTAAAACAATTATTCACCAGGCTTTGGTGATTATCATGAATAAAACCCTCGACTTTGTCTACGTTTTTATTCACCGAAAATCACTTCTCCTTTGGCAAATAATTGTTAATTAATATATACTTTTGAATGCTGATTGTTTTTCCTTCCCTATAATACAAAACATATTCCAAAGAACATCATGCAGTAGTCTGGTTGTGGTTTTCCTTGCCATGCATAATAATCAATTTTATTTTCTCCATCTCACATTCCCTCCAAATTAAGCATAGTTTGCTGCTTCAGTTCATCCATATTCAAATAAGTTCCACTTTGTAATGAAGTAAAGGCAATATCCTAGCTTATCTCGACCTTAACTGTTTGTTTTAAAGTTGGGAAAATGTTTTTAAAAATCACAAAGCTTGTTCCAAAATTCAGTTGGCCCAAGAATAAAAAAAAAAAACTGAAGAATTTTTTGTTGATAACTGGTTGGCACAAGAATAAAAAACAACTGAAGAACACAACCCTCCTATAAGTCAGTACTGTATAGAACTGCCTTGTTCCTCAACAAATCCATTTTATTTGTGTCCAGGAATAATCAAACTCATGTATTAAGAGTGTGCTGGGATAAATAAGACAGGACTGTTAAACAACGAGGCAGTTCTAACAGTGCTAATTTTAAAAGTATTGTATTCTTCAATTGATCACTAATTGCTTTTTCTAAGATTCAATATTTCAAGACTCAAATAACACGCAGAATCAACATTGAAAGAAACATTGTGATTTTCAGATAAACTTTCCAAACTTTCAACAAACACTTAAAGTCCACTTAAATTAAACAAGAGAAGATTGAGAAGGAACATAAGTTAATGTTTTCACAATGCAGTTCGACAAGTTCAAAACAAAAAGTACAATGAGACAAATGTTAATGACTTAATCAGTGTTCTTTTAATCTTTTAATGAAAACATGCTCCAAATTAATACCGAAACATGAAAGAGGACTGAAATAAAATCCTGAATTAAAACTAATAAAGTCATATGTCTTATTTGTAAGTAACCGTTTTGGTTTCTTATAAAAACCACCTCAATCTTCTCAACGTTTAACTGATGTAACAAAGCCAAATAATGACAAACTTTCATTTTTTTTATATTTGACAAAAACGTAATTAGGAAATATGTAGAAATAACTATGTTCTCAGATAGAACACAGATCAACACAAATTTATATGTTCTGTGCTTTAAGATTTAGCTATTATGCCAAACAGAAAAAATATATGTCCAAACCGAATTGTCACTGTTAAACACAATTTTTCAAAACACAGACAGTTTGTCATTTTCTGGCTCGCTCATAAAATGCTTATATGCTTTGAAAATTATAGACTTTCTGTGATTGGTGGCAACACAAAACTTAAAGTAATCGAGGGACCACAAAACTGACATTTTCCAAATTAATTAATACAAGTTGAAATAGTGGTGAAATAATAGAATAAACAGGGTGCAATTGTTATGCACTGACCATATTAATTAAGGTGTAAAGATTGTGTCTGTTATTTTTGTTGAATTTATGTCATAAATAAGATGGTCATTATACTTTTGCAATATTCTGCAGGGATTTCTGAAACTATTTCAGATCACAAGCAATCACATAATGTTCAAAGCATTTCATGTAAAATAAGACAGGAAAATATTAAGACCTTTTATATACTTTCCAATGACGGTGTTCATTTTTGTGATCAAAAACACTTCAGCCAACAACTTCTTGGAAATTGCAACACACATCTAGAAAATTTTAAAAACTCACTATTGAGAACATGAAACAAATTAATATATTACAAAGAAAATTGTCCAAGAAATACAAGGAGAAGGTTAGAAATAATTAGAAGAAAAACAATTTACCTCTTATTCAGGATCTTGGAATGTGTCCATTTTTTGTAATCATGAGATCTTGAGGCAGGGGCTTGCAAAATTCTTGGAACTTGCACCGAACATCTATAAAAATTTATGCAAATTTTGATGAGGATATGAATAGCTTGGCTAGGGAGATGAAAAACTCAATATGAACATGTGCATAGCACCAGAGACTGAAACAAAAAATATTTTCCAGTCAACCCTATTTTCCATAACTTTATGTCAAATATATTGTCTGTTGCCCACAGTTGTTGGTTCTTGAAATGTTTATATGTTGTGGAAATATTGGCACAAATCACGGCAATTTCTGATCAATGTCAAGCCAAAAAATATTTGAAGAAAATGTGTTTTATTCGACCTACCTATCCTACCTGAAAAAAGGATATGAAACCTGAAACGCATATTTTTTATAATGTTCAAAATAGATCAGAAAAATGCCGACCAATAGACAACTTTCATGTTAGTCTAATTTTTTATTTAGGCCAAAAAAAGTAAATTCACGTAAAGAACTTATTAAAATCAGTAAAATTGCAAAATTTGGTTGCGAAATGTTGTAAAATGTAAAAACTATAGCCTTGCAAAGTTTGCATATTTTCAGTATGTTTGTATTGCGTGCGGAAATTGTTACCATTTTTGAGCCGAAAATGGTAACAATTACCCGCACGTAATACAAATATACTGAAAATATGCAAACTTCGCAAGCTAATATTTTCTGCAATTTCCAACATTTCGCAACCAAATTTTGCAATTTTACTAATTTCATTATTTTCTTTTTAACTGTTGTGTTTTATTCCCTTCTCTTTACTTAGATTAAAATTTAAGGCCGTTTTCCACTAGGCGAATTTTTTCGCGCGAACAGATAAAAAGTAGGAAGCGATCCTACTTTTTCGCCGCGAATTTTTTCGCCGACCAATCACGTTGCCGGATTTCGGTTTTCGCTTCGCGTCGCGCGAACAAATTCGCCTAGTGGAAAACGGCCTTAAGTCTAACATGCAAGTTGTCCATTGGAAATGTTAAAATTTGATTGGAATTTTTTTCCACCTAAATCAAGTTAATATGCTTTTAAATTTAATACTGTCCTTTTTAATTTTTTTTTAGCATTCTCTGAATCCTTGCCAGTTCCATGTCAAAAAAGGCTTTACTTTACACTGCTACTAGTGCGTATTTTTGAGTCTGAAACAGATGTGTCCGTTGTCTACAGTTATTGCTTCTTGAAATGTTTATATGTTGTGGCAATATGCCAACTTATCACGGCAATTGCTAACCAATGTCAAACCAAAAAGTATTTGAAGAAAATTTGTTTTCCGACCTATCCTATCAAACTTTTTTCAGATATGAAACCGGAAGCACATATTTTTAGTTATTTTTTGTAATTTTCAAAATTGATCCGAAAAATACAGCCCAATTGGAAACGTTAAAAATTTGATTGGAATTGTTTTCAACTTCATTTTGACTTCAGGCGTCCTTTTATTTTTTGGAAATTCTCTGAATCATTGCCAGCTCATGTCAAAAAAGGCTTTACACTGCTACTGGTGTGCATGTACTAAAAGGCAAATAACAAAACGACCGAAACAAAATGACCGAAACCACCGAAAATGTAAATTACAGGAAAAATGGAAAATGTTAAAATATGAAATTTACGGAAATTTTTTAACATTTGGGGGGTGGGGGGTAGGGTCACAGAATAAAGACATACAGAAGTGTAACTTCCATTACAAAACCGTAAGGCGCTTTTTTACCGAAATAGCTGGTGGCCATGTTCTTAGCAAGTGCCCTAAAGAGAGGCATTCACCCCCCTGGAATATTAAATTTTCAATATGTTCCCAGGGGGTGACTGCCTCTCTTTAGGGCACTTGCTAAGAACATGGCAGACTGAAAAAATCCCTTACGCACTTTTAATAAGAAGATACACTTCTGTATGTCTTTATTCTGTGGTAGGGTGCAGGCAACCCAGAGGACTTTGACAACATTAGCAGAGAATACTAACCTATTCTAGACTGCAAGTGGTCCCTTCTTTTTACGCAGGTTTAGAAGTCATCTCTATTGTGTTTTGCCTATTAGCGCTATTCGTCATCGATCCGCCCCTCAGCAAGTACCGTAAACAGAAGCAGTCACCCCCTGATGACATCGCCTTTTTTGGGTATTTCCAGGGGGTAAATACTTCTGTTTACGGTACTTGCTGAGGGGCGGATCGATGACGAATAGCACAAAAAAACAATAGAGATGACTTTCTGGTTAGTATTCTGTGCTAATGTAGTCTTAAAATTTCCCATAAATTTCATATTTTAATATTTTTGCATTTTCCATTTTTCCTGTAATTAGCGAGGCAGCACACTATTCTCGACGTGCTTTTGATTCCCTACAGTTCACTCAACCCAGTTTCCTGCGCAAACTATGTATTGTCGAGAAGTCGAATTCGCATCGGTGGATGGGTCTGTCCAAATCCGGGCAAAAAGTCGAGCTTCAAGTCATTTTTAAAATGTGGGGGAGTGAACAAAATCTTTTCTAATCGTGTGCGCACGCATTTTACCTCTCACGTGTTCAAAATTTAATGTCTACATGGAATTCAAGCGATCAAAACCTTTCAGAAAAAACGTAGGTAAGCATGGCTTTATTTCTTTCCATTAATATACATCAAGGCGATGAACTTTTTAGTGTTCTATCTAGAGGAAAGCAATGTGCTTTTATGAGTTTATTGGCTATTTTAGCAGCCGAAAATAATCCGCTGATTAATTGGTCAAAATCAACATTACTAATGTCTTATTGGAAGGAGACAAAATGTATTTAAAAGCACTGGATGATGGCTTGATTAATTTAGACCTGGGTGTCGAGCTTTATATTTTAATACATACAGTTTGTTGGATTTGCACAATGGAAACGATCGACAACATTTTGAATAAATCAGGTAAGGATGACTTTATATCAGATGCTTTAATTCTGGTGATATACGATGAAGCCATTTATATTTACATATTATATTTACATATGCTGTTTAGCTCGAGGTTTAGCTATAAAACCCGCTTCGAGTCGGTACTCGCTTCGATTCGTCAATAGACAATAATGTCAATATTTTATATATATACAAGGAGTCAAAATGTACCTTTAGTTTTATATTTGTTTGTGTGGCGATGAGTTTTTTTGTGTTCATTCTAGATGTATCATAATCAGGCTTAATAAGATACCTATACTAGCAACACATGCTGCATATTGCTGCATGCACATATTAAATTATTAATTTACCAGCAGTTTAATACATGTAACAGCTAGGGATGAGCCGATAAGGAAAATTGCCGATTACTGAGGCCGATTATTTATAAGCCGATTATTGGAACTAATCGGCCGATTAATCGGTACCCACCGATTATTGTAAAAAGCAAGAGAAAAATCACAAGATGACCAACAATGAAGTTGGAAATGCGGTTTTATTGTTTACAATACACACTTTGTACAATTAAAAACAGCTTCAGTCTCGCATGTCAATAGTCAAACTTTAGTTTTGGCAGATTATGGTGTAAAAACAAGACACCAGCTGTTAGCTATGCCATTGCGGAGCTAGTCTGCTGCGTTTTTTTTAGTGGAAATGTTCCCAGCTTCACTTCGCTTGAGACAAAAGACACAGGTTTTGCAACAAAATGAGAAAATCTATTCGCTTGTATTCAGTATTTTAGCATGTGATTGGCAGCTGCAGAAAAAGTCTTATAGCCGATTATCAGGCAATAATCGGCCGATTACCGATTATTTAAAAAACAGCCGATTATTTACCAATTAATCGGCTCATCCCTTAGGTAACAGCATGTCAAATTTGTCAATCAACTTTTGTACAAAATATAATGGTCTGCTTTAACTGCTTATATCTCTGAGATATGTCCATCCATAGCATTATATGAAATAATCCTACCAGCCTACATTCCTATAACCTGAAGTTCAGGCCCTAATTTGAAATAGGGCCTGACACAAAACCTGTCTAGACCGTGGGATGCCCACATGTTATTTTTAGACACAACATGCAATATGATTGACAAGTGTTGTAGATTTCGTTACACAAAAAAATTATATTCTAATGAACATGTCCGCAGAGTTATTATAAGTGTGCATTTTGCTTTTTAAACTTAAAAATTCAAGGTACTTTTATATAATTAAGAGTCAGTTTCTCTATTTAACCGAACAGCAATCAAAGATTTAATTAGTCAGTTCTGGGCACGGCTTGACTGCCAAGCTTTCTCAAGGTCTTAACTTGCTGGATGCAGATATACTCTAACGGGCTAACAACAGCAACAATGAAATTCTCAATCATACCACGACTAAAACAACGCCGGTAGGACCTGATATTAAAAATAAGACTTTTGCCGGTGAAGCCAGTTGGCAGAACATCTTGGCTGTCAACAACAAGCTTTCGATACACGACTAGTTTGGCTGTTCTTTCAGCATTGTGTGTCCAAAATTCGTCAAAGTTTTTTATAAAGCCCTTTCAAAATACTGTTTGTTTCATTTATTTTCTGCCATAAAGCATAAAAGAAAAGAAATTCAAAGAAATCGATAATGGAATTTGTTACTTGTGTTTGACCTTTATTTAAATTGTCACCTTGAGCCCTTGGCCTTGACCGAGCTATTTTTAAAACTGTTGTTTATGTGAACTTGCAACCAATCAAAATCCTTCATGATGCTGATCAACCAATCAGATTTCCCGTCCACCAGATGGACGGGAATCTCACAGTTTAGATAGGTTTTGTGTCAGGCCCTATTCTGTGATTAGGGCCTGAACTTCAGGTTAACTTCCTATATTCACCTGGCTGTGTCACTACATTTCACTGATTTCAGGGTATACTATATTTTTCGATAATTAATGCTCACAATTTCTTTCTTATTGCATAATTTTGCTGTTCAGATTGAGTACAATCTTAGTGAGTACAATCTTAATCATTACAATGAATGGTGTCATCTGAAGCTGACATATTGAACAATAATGTCAATGAATAGATTTTGTCTCTCCATCAGCAGATTATTAAATTACTCTGTGATAGGGGTAGCCTTGAAGGTGCCATTAAAACGATAATTGCCATAGAGACAAAAATTGACTTGGTATTTCTATATTCAGTGTTACACCCCCCCCCCCCCCCCCCC